CGCGTGTGCGGCCCGTTCGCCGACTTGTGCGCATCAAGTGCCGATGCGCACCTTTTGCCCTTTCGCTCCTCACTAGTCTCGCCGGACTCCAATGCCACTTCCGTATCAACCGCCGACGGCGTTGTGCCATTCCTCGACCGAACCATAATATCTCTCGGCAATTCAATTATAATTGAACTTAAACATGATTTACTGAACATAATAACACATAATGGTCGAAGGTTATAACTTAACATGAAATGGTACTCGGGTGGCCGTGGTGAGCACTACGTGTGCGACCACACCCCTCTCGGCCAACCTTCTACTAACATGAGTAAAATCACTCGAATACTTAAGTTCAATTAAACATGATTTCGCAAATAAAAGATAAGTATGCGAGGGTTATTCGGAGAATTTCATGAAAATCATAACATAATTCGGTGAATTAATTTGAAATGAGGCATGAATGGCACGGCTCTCGCACGGCTATTAACATAAATGTGCATGCATGACAAATAAAATTCACCTTAAATAAACATGATATTCTCGGTCAATATTCGAAGGGAACTTACCTCTTGCAAGCCCTAGGGACTAACACTCGAACTCCCGTGCGTGACCCTTGAGGAACTCCGCGTGCGATGACTTACGGTAGCTTGGTGCGATGGCTTGCGGCGTGCTGTAGTCTCGGCAATTGCTCCCGAACACGCCCTAATCTCACACCACTCAACTAAACTCTCGGCACTATGAAACTTAGGGGAAGAAAAATGAAATGCTTCACCCAAGCCTCACTTTAAACATAAAGGCCGAATGCAATGGGCAAAGGCAAGGGACACTTGGCCACCATGCGACCCTCTCTCGCACATGCACGGCAATGAGACAAAATGCACCAACACCCATGCACAAGAGAACAAAAGAAGTGCACGGATACTAAGGACCATGTTGGGCACGGGTTCCACACATGAGTGGACAAATGCACGACATTATGGACAATGGGACAAGCATCTTGGACACTCCGCCCACTACGCACGGCATTTAGCTTGAGGAGAAAACTCTCGCCTAGGAACTTGCACGGCGCACGGTCTTCTTGCTTGAAGAATGGGACAAGAGCACCTTGGTCATTCCGCCCACTTCCATTCGCACGGCGCTCATGGACAAAACGCACGCACGGCAATGCACCATGACTTGGAAGGAGAATCTTGATCAACTCATACACACATACCACACGGCAAACACAAGAACTTGGACCGAAATGCACCACATAAACACCTTGAGCACACGACAAAGCACAATGCACGGCAATGAACATGAACTCGGAATAAAATCCAAACAATTTAACTAATCTCGTGATTAAATAAAATTAATCACTTAATTATGTTTAATTATCCAATTAAACATAATGCTAAATTACCAAAATTATTCCGAACGTAAACGGTACGTCGAAAATAGTTCCGGTAATTTCTACTGAAATAACTGAAAATAATTAATTCCGAAAAATAATATCGGAACTAAAATATTATTAATACTGATAAAAGTCGGGATATTACACCAGATGCTTGGCTGAACAGGGCAGTGCAATTCTTCGACTTAAATGAGATGCCGCAATGTGACTGGGTTCGTTATGCCGCGTACTATTTAGATGGTGAGGCCAACGTGTGGTGGCAGTGGCTCACGCGCGTGTATCACGGGCGGCAACAACCAATCCGTTGTGAAGATTTTGAACGAGAGCTCCTTACGCGTTTTGGAAACTCGGACTATCATAACCACGACGAGGCGCTAACTCGGATCCGACAGACGGGGAGTGTACGTGACTACCAAAAAGAGTTCGAGAGATTGGCGTGCCGGGTTCGCGGGTGGCCGGAGAGCGCGCTTGTTGGCGCATTTGTTGGAGGGCTTAGGTATGATCTCGCGGCTGAAGTGCGATTGGAGAGGCCGGAGACCATGCATAAGGCCATGGAAGTTGCTAGGAGACGGGAGGATCACTTGGCCGCGACTCGAAGGGGACGGGCGGATTTCGTGTCCCAGAGCCGCAGCGTGTACCGGCGATCGTGGGCGCACCTAGTGCGAACGCGAGGCCACCGGGCACATTTAGACCCCCATCAACTGAGGTGAAGAGGTTGACGGAGGAGGAGATGGCGCGGAGACGTGAGAAAGGGTTGTGTTTCCGGTGTGAGGAAAAGTACACGCTGGGACATCGGTGCAAGGAGAATTTCTTGATCGAGTTCGTGGACTCAGATGACGAAGAGCCGGTGATCGAGGAAGAACGGGAGGTGGAGGTCGAGGTGCTCAATGACGAGGCCGAGATCTCAGTCCATGCAATGGCGGGCACTAAAGGCCCGAGGACTATGAAGTTACCATCGTGGTTGAGGGATCGGCGGGTTACGGTACTCGTGGACAATGGGTCATCACACAATTTCATTAATGCGACTCTCTCGCACAAACTCAAGTTGCCCACGACCACAATCGAGTCGTTCGAGGTTAGGGTGGTGAATGGCGAGTGCTTGCGGTGCTCGGAGATGTATCGGGGCGTGCCGATCAAGTTTCAAGGAGTGACGGTGAAGGAGGATTTGTTTGCCTTACCTTTGGTGGGACCTGATGTGGTGATTGGTGTGCAATGGCTCGAAGGGCTCAGTGACGTAACGACCAACTATCGGAAGGGCGTGATGAAGTTCGAGACCGATGAAAGGTTGGTTACCTTGAAAGCGAGTGAGGGATCGACCAAGGAGGTTGGTCTAAAAAACATCGAGAAGGTTTGGCGAGGTGGTGGACAGTTGTACGCTGTCGTGGTCGAGCAGACAGGTAAGGATGCGGAGGTGCTCGAGGAGTTCGACCAGGTGGTCGAGGAGAGGCAGCACGAGGTGCCTGACTTGCTCGAGGAGTTCGACCAGGTCCTCGACGAGCCCAAGGGACTGCCGCCACACCGAGAGTTCGACCACCGCATACCTTTGGTCGAGAAAGGTCGAGCAGTGCACGTGCATCCTTATCGATACGCGCACTTCCAAAAGACGGAGATCGAGCGACAGGTGGGCGAGATGCTCGAGTCCGGGCTCATCCAGCATAGCTCGAGTCCGTTCTCGTCACCGGTGTTGCTCGCAAAGAAGAAGGACGGAACTTGGCGGTTCTGCACGGACTATCGCGCTCTCAATGCGGCTACTGTGAAGGATCGCTTTCCCATTCCGAGCGTCGACGACATGCTGGATGAGTTGGGTGGCGCGCGTTACTTCTCCAAACTCGGCCTACGCGCGGGCTACCATCAGATCAGATTGGCCAAGGAGGACGTGCCCAAGACGGCTTTTCTCACGCACCAAGGGCACTACGAATATCTCGTGATGCTTTTCGGGTTGTGTAATGCACCGTCGACCTTTCAGTTTGCCATGAACTCTATTTTTAAGAGGTACCTACGTAAGTTTGTATTAGTATTCTTTGATGACATATTGGTGTACTCGAAAACATGGGCAGATCATCTCGAGCACTTGCGAATTGTTTTGGGGATTATGGAGGCTAACTCATTCTACATCAAACCGTCCAAGTGCTCGTTTGCTCAAGAAGTGGTCGAGTACCTCGGGCACTTTATTTCT